ATTAACGACTAGATGATGTTGTTCAAACTTTCACAATTTCTTTGGTAGACTCCACACTCCACAGCATGCAAATTTCAAAGGTGCGCTTGACAAAGTTCGGAAGCTAATTATTGTAACAATTATCGTGCATCACAAATCACTCTTTTGAATGTGGATAATTATTTACGAAGAAAACATGCATTATAAAAAGAGATTAAGTGCGGTAATTAGTGGCAATTATAGTGATTCTATATATCATAATCAATTACCACTTGCATTATTGGCAACAATGTTTGACATATATACCAGAGCAAATACCAATTTTTGTCCCACGAGTATTAGCAAAATGATAATTTTGATCCACATGTTTAGTTTCAACCAATTTTCATCCACGACTATTATTTTAGTACCAATTTTCATCCACAATTATTGTTTTAGTGCCAAATTTCATCATGTCGGTCACACATTCGATTAAGACATGTCAAAATATGAAATTATTAAGGATAGTTTCGTGCTTTTCAAATTAGGATCCCTATTTGAGCATGAATAAAGAGATTTAAGCCCTAAGATCTATCCCAATTCGCAATTTTCTTCCTCAAATTAAGGTAGGATGAGGAGGAGAACTGCAAATTGGGATCGATCTTAGGGTTTAAATTCATTTATTTATGCTCAAATTGGAATTTTAAGTTGAAAAGGACGAAAATGTCATTACAATTTTTAGATTTCGGGATGTTTTAAATTGATGGGTGACCGACGTGATGGATTTTGGTACTAAAATAATAGTCATAGATTAAAATTGGTACTAAAACAATAGTCTTGGATGAAAATTGGTAGGAATTAAACATGTGGACCAAAATCATCATTTTGATAATACTCGTAGAACCAAAATTGGTATTTGCTCTATATATCACCACTTCTAAGCCGCAATGTTAAGGTGATCGATCGCTCCTTGGCGTTGACGAAGAATTAATCGAATTTTGGGCAACTCCTAATCAAGTTACGTATGTTGGTCACAATTAGCTTTGTAATCATAAAATTTCAAGTTTAGCTCCCTATCGAGAATGTCTATTGTTTTTTTTTGTTTTGTTTTTTCTCTTTTTAATTTGAATCCGATTAGTTATGTGCAACTTAGACTAATTAACTTCTTTATAATCATTTATCAGCTAAAGTTACAAGACAATCTTCACAGGGACGAGGGATCAGTCTTCTGGCTATCGGCTGGAGGGATACCTTTGGGCAACCCAAAAAAAAAAACAAGACAATATTCACTCAAAGTGCACTTTTAGGTAGCAATTGTAAGTTTTCATAAATAAAAGAATTACTCGAATGGTATGTTATTTCCATCTTTCATATATTACAATTATGAAATTCTAAAACAAATGGACTAAAAGTGAATTATCACCTATAAATCTAAAAAAAAATGGAATTAACTATGCAGTTAACATATTATGTACATGTAAATTAAATAAACCGAATGTACATAATATGTTAACTATAACATCAAATCACATTATATATATATATATATATATATATATATATATATATATATATATATATATATGCACAGTCTATAGATATATAATACATTAATTGCTATAACATGTATATAATTTAATGTTAACTAGATTTACAACCTCCCACCGTTCTGTCGGGCTGGGATGTGAGGGGCCTTTAGGGTTGGGGTTCAGCCTTTTGGAAGAAGGTATATAATTTAATGTTAACTAGATATATAATCTGTTAATTGTAGCTATATAATCTGGACATGATCCACAATACACAAGATAAACTATGATCCATGATATAACTATTGATCTAATCCATAGAGACGCGTGAAGTATAGAAGAGAGTTGAAAGGCGTGAGGGTGATGAGGGATTGTTTTCTTTGGCTGATACATATCAGAAGTGCAGAGAAGTCGCTCGACTTTTTCGCTGACTCCTCCCTGCCCACTTTACAGTTCTGTGTCCCCCTCTCAACGTGACCTCTCCTCTGCCCACTGCACCTAACCCCCCCCCCCCCCCTTGAACCCCCCACACCCACCACCCACCGACCAAACTCACTTTTGTATGCGATTTGGTGCTGCACATGTATTCAACCACTAAACCCCTTGGTTACAAAAACACACCATTATGGCATTATCCAACATAAATAAATACTTTACAGATTTCTCAATGGGTAAGTTTTAGTAAAAAAAATTAAATCTTGAAATATGTCTCAAACAGTTTATAAATTTCTAATCTCAAACTGTTTATGGTTCTGTTTGGCAAATCTAACTGAAAAATTATAAATTAGGAGCTAAAAGTTAAAAAATTATAAACTCGGAGCTTAAAATTGAAGAGCAATTAAGCTAGCTAATATGATTGAAAGTATTTGGTAAAAACTTTTATTTTAAACTATAAATTTATTTTAAGAACATTACCAAATAGAATTTATAACTTATTAATAGTTTAAAATAAACTATAAACTTGTGAAACAAAGCCTATATGTTAGAACATTACGCTTATCGGGATTGAATGAAGTTTGGTTTTCGATCAAAGGTGAACCCCATCCAGCTTGGATGATAGGACTGTGTGCGGTCGGGTAGTAGGGTACATCCCAACTCTTTTATAATTTAATTTTGGTAAAATTAAAGTGAAATAACTAAAAGAATTAAGAAATACTCCGTAATAAATATGCATGAAGTAAGTTTCATCGTACTGTGGTCTTGTCAACAGCCATATCCAAACAACTAAAAAAGCCCAATGAAACGGGTCCACTCAAACAGAGCCACATACGATTTGCCAAAAGGAACTAGACCGGTCCTTGTCTCAGCCAGTGGGCACCCGGTTACTCATTCACTGTGCCCACTACAACCGGGAGTTTTACTTCTAGCGGTCCAAACACAATTTAAAAAATACAACCCAAATTTGACTTTTCTACCCAAAATATAAAACAGACAAATAAATTTCAAATTTATTTTAGAGATTATAAATTATAATTTTTATTTTTATTTTGTTTGTTCATATTAGTGTTTTGGATGTCTTTATATTAAAATAATATTGTTTTGATTTTTTGTTCTTGTATTTTTAAAACATGCTTAGGCTGGGTTCTTAGGGACCACCATGACGTGTTTTTGGCAGCAATGAATATCTGTTTGAATGGCATTTACATTGTTAATGAAGCAGAGGTTATTTGTGTACGAGAAGCTTTAAGCTGGTTGAAGGACACGGGTATGGGATGTGTTGATGTTGAAATGAATTCACAAACAGTTTTTTATGCACTTTCTTCTCCTTTTTACTCTTCCTTTGGACTACTAGTTGATGATGTAAAGGAATTGACATCTATGATTGATGATGTTCAATTCCGTTTTGTTAAACGATCTGCGAACACTGCCGCCCATACAGTTGCTAGAGAGGCTTGTTCTGAGTCAGGTTGTGGAGAGTGGTTTGATGCCCCCTAATTTCCTTGTGAACTGTCTTTATCGTGATTTAATGCATTAAATTCCTCTTTAAAAAAAATATTTATTTTCATTATAGGATCATACAAACCAAACAGCGCATAGTATTGATAATCATTCCAATTCCACCTTACTATCAAACATGCAAAATACTTTTACCGAAACCTATTACCATTATCAAGTATTTGATTTACATTCGTATTTTGATTCCACATACGAACCAAACACACCCTAAGTAGAAGATTAACAAGGAATACTGCTGGGTACTTGAGTTAAGGGAACATAACATCGTCCAGAACTATTTAAGACCAGGTTTTAATATGAGGCAGTGGAAATTCCAGGACCCAGACGGACAGTTCCCCATTTTCCCAGTAATCCTAGAAGTTTCAGAGTGTAGATTCAGAACCTAGTACAATTAGCCTAGCTATACAAGTCTGACATTTTTGCTTAGCTGGCTGGTTTTTTCAATTTTTTTTTCCAGCTATGGATGAAGGTAAAGAAAACCTAGACTGTTAATCTGAAGTTCAGAAGATGTGTCCTTGTTTTTCTGTTCTTTCCCAATGATTTATTTCGTTGAAAACTTTAAATGCATTATTATATCTTTCTTCACATTTCACACAGTTGACTGTTAAGTGAGAGTGAAGGTTGCTTCACTGTATGTTCATGAGAATTATGCATGGGCTTATGAAATATATATGAACCAACATGTGGATCGGACTTTCTCTAAAGCTCCTAGAATCTGGGCTGGACCAACAACTACTTTGGAAGAAATTTGGTTTAATCTTGGGAAAATCTGTTGCTGTTACCCTCCAACTGTCAAAACCACACACTCTCTAGTCTTTTGCCCAAGCCCAATACCTCAAAAGAGGTTCGAGCTCGTTTCATTTGAATCACAAACTGTTTGTATATTTTTTGGTTGTATCCTAAATAGTATATGAAAATATCGGTCCCTATCGAACCAACCCAATAGGCCTAACTTATAGTTGAATAATTGTTATGCCGTGAAATCGTGTCCACCTTGCAAGTTGGTCACGGTTTTATGTTTATAATTATAAATATAATTATAAAACTTTATGTTCATAATTTTTTAACTTCATATTCACAATTATTAAACTTTATATTCACAATTACAGAACTCTATGTTCATATTTATATATAAAACTCTACGTTCATAATTTTTGAACTTCATATACACAATTATTGAACTTTATATTCACAATTACATAACTCTATGTTCGTAATTATAGAACTCTATGTTAATAATTTTTGAACTCTATATTCACAATTATGATAGTTTTTGAACCATGTCCACCTTGCAATGTAGACACGATTCCACAACATAATTTGCCATAGTTGATGAGAAAACTATTATGCGAATTATGTTTAAAATGGACAAATTCCTATGTTCATCGACATCGGGCTCTAAGGCTCTATATGAGCACTCAATAGTTATTGCGTGGACCGTGGTCCACACAAAAGTGTAGGCCATTGTCTAAAAAGGACTTAGTTTTGCGTAATTTTTAGTCCATAAACTTGATTTACATTAATCACATTCTTAACAAACAACAGTCTGCATGAAAGAAAACAAAGAAATTGATGACAGTGCATGAATTAAGATGGGAACATGATAGTGTTCATCAAAAGTGGGAACTAATTAAGGGAACACCTCAATGAGGGACGTGAAGCCAAATATTGGAGTTATCTTGTGGCGAGTGAACCCAGACTCAATGAACAGCCTTTCATATTCCTTTTCTGTTCGTTCCCTCCCAGTAACAAGAACCATCATCAGAACATCAAACATCAGCTTCGTTTCAGTTATGTCTCTTTCATTGTCTTCTTCCGCGCCCAAAACCATGTCAATAATGATGACCTTCCCGGCCTTCTTCACTCCATCATTCTTGTTTGCGATGATAGCTTCTCTGCATTTCTTCAGTATTTTCACGCAGTCCTCATCACTCCAGTCATGCATAACATGCTTTCATTTCAATCAAGTTAATTGCCAAATTAAATTTTAGTACGTACAAATAAATTAAAAAGGAGTTGAATATGATGTATTACTAACTATGGGGTGTTTAATCAATTCAAACAAGCTAAAATTGGTTGATAGTTGACCAAACAGGCCTATATATGATGAAAGAAATGAAATTTAATTTGTTACCTTTAACATGATGGCATCAGCAGAAGGAATTGAATGAAACATGTCCCCTCCAAGGAATCGAAGGTTTTCAGAGGACCCGCCTGCGGGTTTATCTGCAACAACGTGAGGGAGATCAAGCACCGTGCATTTCAAGCTCGGAAATGCCTCCAAGATGAGCTTAGCAATCATTCCAGTGCCGCCACCCACATCTACCAGCGTACTCAGTCCTTCAAACACTTGCCCATAATCTTTCACAATGAACCTCATCATCTGGGAATCGCTAGCCATGCCCTCGTTGAAAACGTTGTTGAACCTAGAATTCGTGTCGCAAAACTCCCAGAAAGGAGCCCCGTGCGCGGTCTCAAACGCAGTGGACTCCTCATTTCTTGAAAACCAGTCCCCCAAAACCTTCCATGGCGCTAACATTGCCGGCTCCACCGAAAGTATGGCGAAAGGGGACAGATTTGGAATCTGACTTTTGAGGAGTAGCCTCGAAGAAGCTGTGAGAACATAGCCATCTTCTTCTTCTTCTGCTTCATTGAGATTTGTTGAATCAAAGAAGCCGTTGTGAGTTAACAAGCGCATGATGCGATAAACGGCGTTAGACAGGGCCGTATTTTAAGTTTTGGTGGCCCTGTTCTAGTAAATAAATGTGGCCCTACCAAAATCATAATTTTTAAAACTAATACATGCAAGTTTCGAACCTTTGACCTCCAAGTTAAATTACAATAAATACACATTCTTACCATCTCTTCATAAAACCTTTAAAGTTTAATTGAAAACTTTTTAATTTTTATTTTTAAACTAGCTAGGTAAAAATTAAATATTGAACCTCTAAATTTTGGGGCCCCTCTAAAATTAGGGGCCCTGTGCGGTAGCCCAGCTTGCACAGCCTAAAATCCGGCCCTGGCGTTAGATTTCTGAGGAGGGAGTTTGAGTGTAGAAACAAGCTCGGGAATGGTGATTGGTTTTGCATGGGTGTGGATTATGTCTGGGATATTTAGCTGAATTGCAGTGGCAAGGACCATGGAGTTTACGTAGTAGCATGCGTGCTTGTAGATATGAGCCTGAGCTCGAAACATTTCAATGGCGTCGTCTGCTTTACCATTGGCTTCCATCAAACAATTCAGAAATATTATTTCTCTGGTTCAGTCGGTGTTCAAGAATAATGATCTTGTTTCGGTTGCTATATATATATATATATATATATATATATATATATATATATATATATATATATAGGGTCAGGTTCCTGTGAGGTCAGGTCTTTCCATGCGGTCAGTGGGGCATACACCTTAAGTATGCATAAATGCACCATACAGTGTTCGTAAATACATCAATTATGTGTGGTGTATTTTTTTTTGTGTGGTGCATTTTTTGACATTTCAGTGTATTTTCGAACACTGTATGGTGCATTTATGCATACCTAATGGTGTATGCTGCACTGACCGTACGGGAAGACCTGACCTCAGTGAAACCAAATATATATATATATATATATATATATATATATATATATATATATATATATATATATATATATATATATATATATATATATATATATATATATATATATATATATATATATAGTGAAAGGTTCCCGTGCATTTGTTGCTTCCCGTGCGGATGTGCGGTGGATTAATGTGCGTGAGATTTGTACACAATGTGCGTGAGTATTGTGCTTAATGTGTCTGCGATTTGTACTTAATGTGCGTGAATGTGTAAAATGCAGCAGAAAATATTAATGTCAGCTTCTTCCCCTTCCCCAGTAGCCATTTGCCCCCTCACTGTTGATGTTGCTTTTCTTTGTGCAGATCCCTTTTTTTCATCACTAATCCTTTTTTGTTTTGTTTTGTTTTTTTAGTTGGTGATCTGAATCACTTGATTTCTGCAACAATGAGTGAGGTGACCTGCTGCCACAGGTTCCCTGGGCAACTCAACTCTGATCTCCGGAAGCTTGCTGTCAACTTGATTCCTTTCCCTCGTTTGCATTTCTTTATGGTGGGGTTTGCTCCTCTCACTTCTCGAGGATCCCAGCAATACCGTGCCCTTACAGTTCCTGAGCTTACCCAGCAAATGTGGGATGCCAAGAACATGATGTGTGCTGCTGATCCTCGCCATGGACGTTATCTCACTGCCTCAGCAATGTTCAGCTTGAAATACTCACGCATATTAAGCACAAATCTCACGCACATTAAACACAATACTCAGGCACATTAAGTACAAAACTCACGCATATTAACATGACGCACATTAAGTAAAAATCTCAGGCACATTGAGTACAAATCTCAGGGCACATTAAGTATAAACCTCACGCACATTAATCCACCGCACATCCGCACGGGAAGCAACAAATGCACCTGATCCCTTCCCTATATATATATATATATATATATATATATATATATATATATATATATATATATATATATATATATATGAAAAAGTTCAAATGCGGCTATGTTCTTAGGTGCGACAGAATTTCAGAATACACCAACAGTGTTAACAACCTACATCAATAGTGTAAGGAAAATACACCACAGAAATGCAAAAAAAACATCAAAAAATACACAACGGACCAAAAAAAATACACCATATAACTCACCACACCCCAATGATGTATTTCCGAACATTGTATGGTGTTTTTACTCACACCTAATGGTGTGTTTTTGGTGATGCATACCAAATTTGTGTGTGTTTTTGTGGTGCATTTTCCTACCGTTGATGGTGTATATTTGTTGAACTATTGGTGACGCCGCACCTAAGGACATCGCCACACTTGAACCTTACTATATATATATATATATATATATATATATATATATATATATATATATATATATATATATATATATATATATATATATATATATATATAGTAGGGTTCCAGTGAGAACATGTTTTTAATGGTCTAGATTATATTAAGTGTGTGCGAGCGCACATTAAATGTGTGCAAACGCGATTTAGTGTGTTTGCACACATTTAATGCTTCCCACACACGTAATCTAATCTAAATCATTAAAAAATATTATATGGATGCACATGATGTGTTCTCACGTTCTCACCTAAGCACATGTTCTCATTGGAACCCTACTATATATATATATATATATATATATATATATATATATATAATAACAGAAGTGATGCCCAAGTTTTTCTGCCCAAACTCAATGACATTTTAGTAATATCAATATCATTAGACAAAAATGTCATTTAGAATTAATATTTAAAATTTTTTAAGACACTAATTACACTTTTTCATTTTGAAAAATTATACAAATTTATAATTCTCACTTTTTTTTTTTTTTTTTTTTTTACCTATAAATACAATGGATTGGTGACTTTGGAAATCATAATTCTTCATTTTGCACTGCCTCCCTCCGCATCTCGTTCTCTTAAATCATATTTTGGTGACTCTCTCATTTCCTTCTTCCACCGCCCAGTAAATACAATGGATTGATGTTGCACCGATGCTGCTGAATATGACAATTTGGGCGTTGGTGGATACGTTGGCCGCGTTAGATACGGAGATGATTTCGTCGTTTTTCGGTGGTAAGGAGGGGTCGGCGTTTCTCTTCACAGGCAACGAAAGCACTTTGCTAAATTGGAAAGTGATTCATATTTTTTTTTTTATATTTTTTTTCTTTATTCCTTTGAGATAATTACAAGATGTATACAAACAACGAAATAAAAATATGATTTCAACACTAAAAACACAAAAGTTAAGGATAGAGATCGACGACTAAGTCACGAATATGAACTAATAAGTATTATTTAATTTTTAAATTTTGTTTTAATCAAGATAAAGTAATCATATTTGTCCAAAGATAAAAGAAATTTAAAGGTCAAATAAGCTCACTACAATTAATATAAAATTTTATATTTAAAGGTCAAATTTTATATTAATTGTAGTGAGATTATTCTGATCTTTAAATTTCTTTTACCTTTTGAACAAATCGGACTGCTTTATCTTGATTAAAAAAATTTAAAAAATTAAGTAATACGAAGTACTTGTTAGTTCATATCCGTGACTTAGTCTTTCATCATTATCTTTAATTTATGTGTTTTTAATGTTGAAATCAGGTTTTTGTTTCGTGTTGTTCATATACATTTTGACATCTTGTAATTATCTAAAAGGAGTAAAGAAAAAGAATTTAAAAAAAATGAATCACTTTTTAGCAAAGCGCTTTCGTTGTCTGAGTCAGACAGTCAGTGGGCGGCCGGTTAATGATAAGGGTAATGTCACTCATTCACAGTGCCGTACGGAACCGGGATTTTACCCAAATTTGACTTTTCTACCCAAAATATAAAACAGACAAATTGACTCTTAAGTGAGATTGAAGGTTGTTTCACTGTTCATGAGAATTGTTGGGGCCGGGGTTATGCATGGGCTTATAAAATATATATGAACCAACATGTGGATCGGACTTTCTCTAAAGCTCCTAGAATCTGGGCTGGACCAACAACTACTTTGGAAGAAATTTGCTTTAATTTAATCTTAGGAAAATCTGTTTATGTTACCTTTCAACTGTCAAAACCCAATAGTTATGCTGTGGCAAATTATGCCCTGGACCCGTGTCCACAATTCATTGTGGACACGGGTCCAAAACGACGTATTGTGGACACGGGTCCAAAACGACGTCGTTTTTCAAAAAAAACGCGTCATTTAGTTATAAAAAAAAAAAAATCGCGCGCGTTTTGCCATTAACGGCGTTATTTTTTTTTTGGATTATGAATGTACAGTTATGCCGTTATAAATGTACAGTTATGCAATTATGAAATTATGAACACAGAGCTCTAACATTATGAACTTACAATTATGAACATATATAGTGATAAAATTATGACCATGGAGCTTTAAAATTGTTAATATAGAGCTTCGAAGATTATGAATGTACAGTTATAGAGTTATGAATCTACAGTTATGGAGTTATGAATCTACAGTTATGAGATTATGAATCTACAGTTATGGAATTATGAATGTACAGTTATTGATCGAATTATGAACAAAGAGCTCTAACATTATGAACTTACAATTATGAACATATAGTGATAAAATTATGAACATAGAGCTCTAAAATTGTGAACATAGAGCTTCGAAAATTATGAATGTACAATTATGGAGTTATAAATGTACAGTTATGAAGTTATGAATGTACAGTTATGGAGTTATGAATGTACAGTTATAGAGTTATGAACGTACAGTTATGGAGTTATGAATGTACAGTTATTAACATATAGTAATAAAATTATGAACATATACTTCTATAACAAAGCGGTCTGAAATTAAAAAAAAAAAAAAAAAAAAAAAAGGAGATAAGCATGCTGGACACAGGTCCAACGCATAACGATTGTTATGTTGTGCAACCGCATGGTGCACATAGTTGTAAAACGACGTCGTTTTGACTAAAAATGTGCGTCCCATTTTTTTCTTAAAAAAGAATTCAGTTTCGATTCCCCTCAACAGTATAATTTGCAGTCAAAACCGGCCTAAGACTCTTTAGTCTTTTGCTCAAGCCCAATACCTTACTTAAAAGAGGTTCAAGCTCGATCTTTTCATTTGAATCACAAACTGTTTA